TGGTTAGGCTGGGGGGAGGGTTGTTAGGCTGGTTTTAAGCAGGAACTGAAGATGCCCCTAGAGGAGACATCCAGCAGGTGTGATGGCAGCAGTGACTGTTGTGAAGGAGAGAGGCTAACATGAGCAGGTGTCGGGCTGGTTTTGTGTGTCAGCTTGACACAAGCTAGAGTCATCAGACAGGAAGGAGCCTCCTCAGAGTTGAGGAAATGCCTCCGTGAGATTCGGCTGTAAGGCATTTTCTCAATTAGCCATCAATGGGGAGGGTCCAGCCAGCGGTGGGTGGTGCCATCCCTGGGCTGGTGGTCCTGGGTTCTATAAGAAAGCAGGCTGAGCAAGCCAGAGGAAGCAAGCCAGTAAGCGGCACCCCTCCATGGCCTCTGCGTCAGCTCCTGCCTTCAGGTTCCTGCCCTGCTAGAGTTCCTGTTCTGACTTCCTCCAGTGACAGAGTAGGATCTGGAAGTGTAAGCCAAATAAACCCTTTCCTCCCCAACTTGCTTCCTGGTCACGGCGTTCGGTGTTTTGTTGCAGCAGTAGAAACCCTAGCTAAGACAGCGAGATTTCACAGCTCTCTGAGAGAGAGGTGCTAGAGCCTAGGTTGGGGTGTGGACGTGAAAGGCAAAGCTGAAACAGACGGGCCGTGGACCAGGCTGGATGAGAACAAACTCCTCTAGCAGTGAGACGGAGAGCAGGGTTCTGGAGCCGCCCACCACAAGGAGGCAGGCAGGGTACGAGAGCAGGCCAGTTAATCGCGTAAAACCAGTGACTTGCTGGGGACTGGTTTCATGAAAGTGTGTGAGTTCATCGGGTGAAGTGGAATGACAGGCTGTGAAGGTCACGGAGTGACGAGGATGCTGATTAAATAAATTATCACGATCTTATTTCCACAATCAGAGACAGAGTTAAGCGAACACCTGTCAAAATGGCCCAGGAACTCTGGGGGGGGGGAGGAAGGCCTATTTCACACTACGGAAGTTGATTGTTCGTCTCATCCTAACATCAGTCTCTTACTCATTGCCTATCCCAGAGGGACTAAGGAGTACTAAGTCTGCGTTCCCTGTAAATTCTAGTACCATTTCATGTCTTGGGAAATCTAACTTTCAGGTATCTCTCAACAAAGCGGTTTCTAGTGTAGACGCAGCTTGCATATGGATTCTCCCCAACACTCAAAACATATGCCCTGTTTATACCCTGTGTCAAGAGGATTGACATGATTAGACGCATTAGGAACAGGAAGTGTTTCAGTATTTGCTAACAGGGGTCATTTTGCTTACCCCTTAGTTGTGAAGGTTGAAGTCTACTCACTCTTTCAAGCCCTTTCGAGGCCAGCCCACAGCCACTACCTCGGCCTCGCTTCAGCCCGTTGTTAAGATCCCTCTCACAACAAGCATAGCAGGAATGCACTTACAGACCATTTGGGTTTTAAATTTAGTTGAAAAAAGGAACTGTAAACTGGGCATGGTAGCATATACCTTTAATTCCAACGACTGAGAGGCAGAGGCAGGTGGATCTTTGCAGGCAAATTGGTCTCCATACTGAGTTCCAGGCCAGCTGAGGCTACATAGTGAGACCCCATGTCTCAGAAAACAAAACAACAGAAATCTCAAACTCCCAAATACAAAAAGGCATTTTATTTCTCAAAAAAAATTTTCAAGAAGGTAGTATGTTGCAGGCTGATTTTTTGTTTTTATTTTCATCCAGCTGGACTTAAGAGTGTAAGAGACTGACTGGGTAGTCACATGGTGAAGGACCAGGGGACCAAGCCCAGAGGGACTCTGGGAAGAGCCCTGCATTGCGACGGGATGGAACCATGGTTACTGACCTGTCAGAGACCCTCCAGGTGCCATGGGGACACAGAAGGAACTGAAGAATATTTTCAGTTTTCCAGAAAACACTAATATGCTCAACATTGTGCCAATTCCTACTGTTAACTTGCCCAAACTTAACAATTTAGTAAAGGAGTGAAGAAACATGTAGGCATTTCTTTTGGTTTAGGGGGTGCCATAAAAACAACAACAACAAAAACAAAAACAAAAACCAAAAACCAAGGCACCAGGAGTGTTATGAACTGAGAGACTTGAGGATCATGGGAATAAAGCCTTGCACCTTGAGATTGTGGAGACAGATAAATCTGACCTTCACTGGGGTCATGGACCAAGGTCATTAGATAGGGTCTCCTAAGAAGAATGTGACCTCAGCCTGAAGAAAGGTATGTCCCGCTGAATCTCATAGCTCGAGGCTCTGATCACAGTGCAGTGTTTCCTCATGGACAGAGCAGGCCACTTCTTGAAAGCGGTTTTGAGGGGCTGGGCACACTCTGTATCTGCTGGGGCAGCTCCAGGAGCAATTGGATCCAGGGACCTCTTTTAACTTCATTGTCTCCACCCTACAGAAAAGATTAGCATTGGCAGGCTCTCCATGACCTCTGAAAACTACTCTCTTTTTGGCTTCCAGTAAAAAGTTTCAGACTGATATGGGTCACTAACCTAGTTCTGGACCAACTGTTGGGAACATTTTTGTTGGCTCATCACATATTGGCTCAACACACTTCTCAGGTGTTCCATCCCTGGATTTTTCTGGTCCTTCGGTGTCATTTTTCCCCCCAGGGTTCCACATGTGACACTCCTTGGCTACCCTATCTTATTTCTTCTCAATATTCACCACAGTTAGGGATTTATGGTTTATTTGCTAGTTTATAAGTTTATTTTTTGCCATTTACAGCAAAATGGAAGCTCCACGCAGGTGGAGAGGTTGTGTGTCTTGCTTTAGTGTGCCAAGAAAGGTTCCCAAAGAGTGTCTGTGGGAAAAGCAGATGAAGCTCTGTCTTACACAAGGGAGCAGAGCACCCCAGCCTTCCCAAGGAGCTTGGCAAAGTCATCCTCTGTGTGGACAAGGGAGCCGAGGAGCAGTTCCCCAGGAACATGGGCATCTAGACAGCCACAGTGGATTTCTGGGTGTTTCCGGTTGGATGCAATGGCACTTCCTGTCTGGCTCAGCACGTTATCCACCGGTCAGATTGGATTCAGTTCCTTGCTGTAAGTAGACACTGTCGTTGGTACAATTATTAGCTGCAATTGGTAATTCAGAGCAATTTTTATGGAGATGTGGAACTATTATGAAGTCCTAATATTCATAATCCCCCAGAGTCCTCCTGTTCTTTAACAACTCATCTCCAAGTCACAGATGTGCTCTGTGGGTCTTAGTGTGACTATTAATGCACAGGCTCGGGCTTATGAATAAGCTCTTAGGTTTCAAGCCTTGCATCTCACTCATGGACGTTTCTTATCTAGAGGACAGAAAGCAATTTCAGTAGCACTTAACTTAATTGGTTTGTGACCAGACAAGGACCCTGGGCCCTACTTACAGAGCGTGGGCAGTGCACCTTGCTTCAACAGTTCTAGAAAGTTCTCATCTTGTATGTGCAATCTCCCTTTCAATCAACCGTTATTCCTGAACCGCTGTTTCTGCCCACTAAACAAGGTTTATGGAGCCTAAATTGCACATCTCTGATAAAGATTCCTAGGCAATCAGAAGGCTATGTGTCACTGGGACAAACGTGTTGGATTTCTGATCTGGCTCACCTATTCACACATTTCTCCCTTACTTGTGGAGTCCCATGCATTTACATGGTTTTTGTTCCACATTTTCCAGCCTGCATTTGCATGCGTCCAAAAATACTATTTTAAAAATAGGACTTTTCTTGTTTGTCTATTTATTCCAAGTAGACCTTACCCTCCTTTGTGAGTTGGGATATGAGAAGAAAGATCTCTATATAGACATCATGTTGACTTTGCCTTGGTCACTGTGGGGTCTTCCTTTATCTTGGTTTCCCTGCCTGTCAACTGAGGAATAAAGGCCTTTGGCCCCTGTGAGTCCACCGAACCCAGTATGCCGGCCTTCGATGCATCTTGATCCTAAAGAGCGTTTTCTAGCCACACCTGAAGTGAGGCTTTTTCCTAGGCTGCTTCTTTTTCTGGCCTCTGCGTCTGCATCCCCAGGCCTGGGGTCACATGGAAGTTTCACTGAAGGCTCCTGGGAATATGGAAGCCTGTCTCTCAGCCAAGGGAATTTCTTCTTTCCCAGGAAAAGTAACCATTCCCAAACAGGTACAAGGACTTTGCTCCTCAGATGTGACACCGGACTGCATTGAATTTTTTTCCCATTGATTTATTTACTTGCTTGTTATTTATGTGTAGGGAAATGAGTGTGCCACTGTGTGCATGTGAGGATCAGAAGACAGTTTGGGGGAGTGAGGACTCTCCTTCCACCAAGCGGGTCCAATGGATTAAACTCAAGTGACTGAACTTGGTGGCGAGTGCCTTTAACAACTGGGCCATCTTGCCAGCCCCCAGATTCTAGATTTTGATGACTCTAGCCAAAGATACTCATGGCACTTATGGGGGACATAAAACCGATTCGTGTGTGAGGTGAGCTGGTAGACCAATGAGTAGCCCAGGACCAAGGAAACCCTTCGAAGGAATGCCTGACCAAGGGGACATGGACCTCTTTTTTAGGGACATAACTAGTGTGAAAGAAGGTCAGGTCTGTGACTTCAGTTTACATTTGAGGGGTGGGAGATGGTGAGTCACATAATTAGTTTTACAGTGACTGTCAACCAGTCCAGGGGTTACAGTCACTCGAGAATTACAGCAATTAGTGTATATAGCCAACAGGCAATACAACATTCAGGGTGCGTGTGATTTCTCACAGTGAATTTGTACCTGGACAGGTCTCTTGCGTGTCTGCTTCCCAAGATCTTGGTTGTTAATAGCTCTGACCTGACATTTGTATCTTGAGCAAAACTGAAATGGGCAGCTGAAGACTAATTATGCTAAATATTCCAACAAGCATAATCATCAGTGTTCCAGCAGGGCGCACAGAAAGGAGCATCATGGTGTGCCCTGCTCTTTTTATTTTTTCTTCTCTGTCTCTCTCTCCTCTCAATCCTCAGCTCTTTATTTTAGTCTTACCTAGTAAAATTGAAGCCTTATCCTAAGGGGTTCTTTCTCTTTTTTTCTCTCTTTCTTTTTCTTCTCTCCTTCTCTTTTTCCTTCTTTTCTTTCATTTTCTTTTACATAATCTGTTTGCAAAAATTTGAGTGCCTTTATTTCCATGCAATTTTAAATGTTGGTTTCTGCTCTGTTAGAGTCTTTCCATTGGGAGATTAAAGAGATCACAGAGAAAGCAAAATCTTGGTGCAAGCTCCAGTTTGGGGGGGAGGGGAGCTTCTGCATGACAGCCTCCTGACTTCGTGCTAAGGGCCACGGTGTCGAAAGAAGCACAGTGCTTTGCTTGGTGAGGACGCTAATTGCAGAGGCAAGCAGGAGGCTGTGCACATATGTTCCTGCAAAATTTGTTTTTTTATCAAGTCAATAACGAAATTGAGAAACAAGCTTTTTCCAGCAAATGCTAATTATAACGAAACCCTTCCTACGCAGGAGCAGAGCAGACACGCACTAGACGACTGAGCTGTGATTGACTGGGGATCACGGTTGGCAGCGCTGACAGGGCAAGTGGAGGACCGTATAGGCAAGATTATCTAGAAAATCCCCGGCTTCCAAAGCCGCAATCCTTTAAGTCGGCTGTGTTTAAATGCAGCTGTACCACTGATTAGATGTCAGCACTGGAGCGCACTCAAGAACTCTGTTTAGTGATTAGCTCAATGGACCAATTTTCCTTCAGATGCTCACACCGAGGGAGGTTTTGCATACAAATATGGGAACAGGACTGCCATCTTCCTGGTTTTACAGGGACAGGGGAAGCAGCACTTGCACTCAGAGTCCCTCCCCACTCACTGCTTTGCTGTCTCTGGCTTCACCTCTGAGGGAAAGACTGTCCTGACCAAGAGTGTGGCACAGCCACAGGCTATGGTTGGGACGAATCAGTTTTGTTTCTCACTGTTGACCGTGAGTGGATCCCTCACTGCTGTGCCAGAGTCCATACTCATTCCAAATGGGGGGACCACACTCCCTGCTACAAAGGCTGAGCAGAAGATGGAAAAACCGGAGAGAATCTCTACATCTCACATCCCTGAATCTTTAAAAATGCACAGGAAATGATGAACAGCAGGCTTATTAGAGGCATTAACAGACGGCCAAGGTAGTTAACAAGGACTAGAGCTCCAGCCTAACCTGTGCCCTGTAGGCCCGCTCGTCCTGCAGTTAGCAGAGTAAGGTCTGATAGGAGACGGCCAGGGCCAGTGGTAAGGGTTCTCAACAGCAGGCTGCCATGAACATCTGCAGGGGCCAGGATAAGAGAACAATGGAAGTACAGTACAAATATTTAAATGTTTAGAAATGGATAAACAAGAGATATCCCGCCCCTTCCATGTCAAGATAATCCCATAAAGGCCTGCAAGGCAAGGGCCGATTGAGGATCTCATGTCCTCGAGTCTACGACCCCACCTTTTTCTTAACCTTGGCCCCTTCCCATTGTGTGAGCCCTCTGCCCCAGATAACACTGGCCAGCAAACAGTGTGGATCTGTCACCAGTGGGCTTCCCAATATTGAATCACTTGAATATTGAATCACTTGAGTAACGCTTTCATGTCTTTCCTGACAAGCCGGATACATCTTCAGAGTGACCAGTAGGAGATGGACCACTTCCACAAGCTGAAAGGGGCAGCAGCTCTGGGTGTGACTGACTCATTCCCTAAACTCACAGGTCAGATCCCTCACATCTTAGGAACAATGCAGAGTGTCCCCTGGGAGTTAAAGTCACTGTGCTCCATGGAGGCTCCAGCAGTGATCTCTGAACCATATCTTGCTGAATGGCTTTCGAGAGCGGAAGATAATGGGTTAACCAATGACCTTAGGAGCCGTGTGCAGTTCCCCCTGACTGTGTTCGTTCTGCAACTGCAAACAAAATATTTGAAAAACAATAATCTCTCTCTAACATTTCTTATTAATGTGATTTCAGGTTCTTTTTATGGCACGTTGCCTCTGCCTGCTTCACTGTAGGCCTGATGCCATTTTTACAGCAATTCAGAGCCCACCACCTGCTTCCAGTACTTTCTTGGCCTATGATCAACAAATAGATTTTTAAAAATTACTGAGAATAAACCCTAAACTCATCCTGTAGACATTTCTCAGGAAATTTAGTGTGGCGGGTGTTCTGAAACAGTGTCCATTGCCAAGTTTACTTCGTTCTGCACTGATTTCCTACGCTTTTAATTGATTCTATTGATCACGTGACAGCCCTGACCTAGGAGCTCAAGTGTGATACACAGAGCATCTTTGTCTGACGTGTAGTTTTTGAAGGGGGTACCATCCTTGGTATGACCCTCATGCTTTGATGGCTCCGTGTCTATCTAGGGTCTCACAGCTCTTCAGTAGTTTCCCGCCGTTGTCCAGAAACCAGTAGCATGGAGGGTAAGATGTCAAGGCCAAGCACTGATTGTAACAAGTTGGTGTGCATTTCTAGTTCATTTTCTATTTCCAAAAAAGGGACTGAGAGAGGTCAACTTTGTGTGTATGTGTGTGTGTGTGTGTGTGTGTGTGTGTGTGTGTGTGTGTGTGTTCTTGCTCAAAGTGATCCCGTGGTCTAGAGATGACAAAAATCATCCAGTTCTCACAGTGACAATACTTGAGGTAGTTGTAGAGGTTAAAGTCACTTCTGTTTTAAAGCTGGCTTGTGGCATCAGTGTTACTCTTGGTCAAGCTACCCAGTCCTTTTCTCCCTAAAATGTTTAGTAGTTTTCCACCTCGTGCAGTTGCATCCCTGGACAGGAAGTGGCCCTCTAGTAAACGTTTCTTACAGTATTGAATTGGACTTTGGTTCCCACAGAGCAGTTTTTTACCAGCTTTACAAACAGATCAAAGCTCCTTAAGCCCATGCTGTAGGCTTTTCTTTCTCTGTGGTGCCTGCCTGCCTCTCCCAACCAACACATACCAGTTAGCCTTGGTCACAGACACTGAGGCCGCTCCAGTCCCTGCCCACATGGGACCAGCAGCCATGAGTGAGTCCTGGACCAAGTCCTCAGCATCCTGTGGTGAAAACAGCCTGGATCCACACCCAGTCTCGGCTGCTGGGCAGCAGATTTGAGGAGGAATAGGTGCCAAAAACGCTGCTTCACTCTCTTTTCGTCACGAGGGATTTCTAACTCAGGAGCCTGAGCTGAAAATAGGCCTGTGTAGGGCTGTAACATTTCCTGCCGTGATGAAGGGGTCAAAGGTTGGTACAACTCACACCCTTTGCAGGGGGTGTTCGATGTCTCTCCCCTTCCTGTCCTGTTTCTGGCGGAAGCCCCACTCTCTGGAAGGAAGAACGAGGGGGTACTTCCTGTCTAACCTCTTACCTGCTTTGTGACCTTGGACAGGATAGTCATCTTGATCACGTGTCAGGTTTTTTACCTGTAACAGTTAGCACCGCAGTTTACAGGGAGGTGATGAGCCGTAAGTGAGGCGATGATGGGGAAGAATGCCAGGTTTCTCTTGAACGGCGCTGACCAGTTTAAGAACCACAGCTATGCCTGAAGCTCCCTCGTCTGTAACTTCAGACTCACCCACTCTTCTTCTTTCCTTGCCAAACTGCTTATTTTTTTTTTTAATCTTTCTACTTTGCTTGTTTCTCTCACTGTAGACCTGGATGTTGTAGAATATTGTTTTAAGGTGTGTTACTTTGGTTTATGTTGCATTTGTTTAACTCTGTGAAGCTGTGTTACTGTGCCTGTCTAAAACACCTGATGGTCTAATAAAGAGCTGAACAGCCAAAAAGCAAGGCAGGAGAAAGGATAGGTGGGGCTGGCAGGCAGAGAGAGTAAATAGAAGGAGAGATATGGAAGGAAAGAAAAAAAGACAAGAGAACAAGGAGAGGAGTATTCTAGAGCCCAGCCACCCAGCTACTCAGCCACCCAGACAGCCACAAGAAAGAGTGAAAGTAAGATTACAGAGGTAAGGAAAGGAAGAAGCCCAGAGGCAAAGGTAGACAGGATCATTTTTTAAAAAGTTGCCAAGAAACAAGCCAAGCGAAGGCCAGGCATTTATAATTACAAATAAGTCTCCATGTGTGTATTTATTTGGGAGCTGGATGGTAGACCCCCAAAAGAGCAAAAGAGCAAAAATAACCAACTACAGCTGGATAGGAGCAGCGTACAGAAACCAGGACACAGCCTGGATACCACGCTACTTAGAAACATCCTCTGGCAAGCACATTAGTCCATTATCTTTAAATTTAGCCACACTTAGATTCTCAGGACACAGGCAGAATGCAGCCGGATTGTTTACTAGGAGATAACAGAAGTGCCCATTAGCCTAGTTCCTGATAGACTGCTTCCTCCTCTCTGAAACCTTGTGAACCACGTCTTCACTGGCCATACTACTTTGGCATTTTGTTCTTCCAAAATATCGCCATAATGACCTGGTGTGATAGTTTGAATGTAATTGGCCCTCATAATCTCATAGGGAGTGGTGGTACTGAGGCGTGGCTTTATTGGAGTAGGAAGTGTGTCACTGTGGGGGCGGGCTGGGCTTTGAGGCCTTTTTTGCTCGAGCTTCCCTCAGTGTGACAGTTGACTTCTTGTGGCCTGTAATCAGATGTAGCACTCTCAGCTCCAGCGCCACGTCTGCCTGCACGCTGCCAACATCCCCATCCTGATGATAATGGACCGAACCTCAGGACTGTAAGTGAGCCACCCCAACTAAATGCTTTCATTTATAAGAGTTGCCATGGTCATGGTGTCTCTTCACAGCAATAGAGTCCCTAAGACACCTGGTAAGCTCTTCTCAAAGCACTCCAGGATGTTTCCAGTCCAAGAATACAAGTTCTTCTGTATTTCTCTGAGGTCCTAGAACTGTGGTCATCCTCATTACTGCAATGGCCCCACCTCTCCACGTTGTTTGAGGTTTGAGGTAGGAGTTCACAGCACCGGGAACTCGAGGCAGCTTGTGAATTATATTGCTAGCTTCCTCCTCGTTATTTAGCCCAAGGTCCCAGCCCATGGAATAGTGCCACCCTCATTTCAGAGGATCTCCCCACCTCAGTTAACTTCATCTACAAACTCTCTCACAAACATGCCCAGAGGTTTGTTTCCATGGTGATTCTACATTCTCTCAGGTTGGCAATCAGTGATTTTGTGTTCTTTTTATATCCAAACACTGTGGAGAGCTGTTGCAAATCAGTTTGCAACAGTGTAGAATTTACTAGAATCTCTCATAAAGCAGGAAAGAAACTCACCACCTGCCCCAACCATCTCAAGTTATACAAGGGCATGCTGAGTCCTAGACTCCCCAATACAGAGCCAGTAGCAGTTAGCTGGGGCTGGCACACGGTCCACTAAATCCTCCTGATGTCAGCAGTCACTGTCTTCAATGTTCTTGGACCGCAGTCAGGCTGAGATGAATGTGAGGCTCGGGCAGTTGATGTACTCACAAGGATGCCAGAGCGTGTTACTGCAAAGGGCTTCTTTTCCTTAGTCTGAAGTCTGCCCAATCCCCTTAGTGACCTCTGAGAGATACTCAAGAAGCAGGAAGAAGCCCCAGCCCAGAAACACTTGCAGGTTAAAAGAGGCAGGAGCCCAGCACTTCTGAGCTATTAATGTTGGTTTGAAAGGCAGGAAGGTGTCTTCACACTGTTTCCAGGGCTGTGATCCCATAAACTGACGCGATCCTCTGGAGTTGGCCTTTGTTTGGGAGTTTCAAACTCCTTTATTTGTGGCCCACCAGAAGCCGCCTGGCACACAGACTGCATTCACATGCAGACACTTTGATGGATCTGGTATTCTTCCTGAATGTACGTACCTGAATAGCTCTCAGGTAACCATTCACTATCTGTCCGCTCTCCATGTTTTTAAATAGCAGCTCAATTCACAGACCTTTGAGTTCTCTCCCGAGAGATTCGCTGGTAACTTTGTCAATGAGGAGGACAATGTGATTTTGTATTTTCTGTGAGACTTGCCAGCTTGCTTTGCGCTGTTGAGTGGGGGTGTCTCACTCAGGCACTTCAGATTCCTGCAGCTCTGTAGGCTGAAGTGGGAAATATTCCAAGTGGCGGGTTAACACCCATAACCCCATTTCTGCGGCTGTTTTCACGTGTTGGGCAATGGAATGGGGTCGATGCTGAGGCTTCTGAAGGCCGAGTCAAAGGACTCAGATTAGGAAATGTCAAACTGTAGACAAAAATCCTTGTCTCAATCTTTGCCTCCTGGTACACGCCCCTCCAGTCCATTAGAAGCACTTTTTTTTTTTTTTTTTTTTTTTTTTACATTTTAAGTGGTTGGAAAAGCAGAAAAAAAATTTTATAGCATGTGAAGAATTAGATGGGCCTCAGGCCCCATTGCCAATCAGAAAGTGTCGCTGGAACACACCCTCCTTTACATGTGGCTCAAGCTCGTTTTTGCATTATTGAGTTGAGTGATTGCTATAGCTGTCCTATGGCTCACAGAGCCTAAAACAGGGGCGATTCATTCATCAAATACCCGCAGGTACTGTTTCTGTGCCAGATACTCTGCTAAGCATTGAAAGTGGAAGGCTATGAAAAACAACCCTTCCTGGAGGGCTCGATTTATCAGTGTGGAGTAAGGTAAATGGAAAGCCCATAATGAGATAAATAATATCGTTGAGACATATGAAAAGTGCCACCGAGAGGGGAGACAGCCTTTCCTGGGGGCAGGGACCGGACAGTCCCGTTGATGGACGTGGGGCTGTTAGTAGCTCTGGCATCTCACACACTGTGCACTTTGTGTTATTTCTCACCAATCTCCCTCCCTCTGCATGCTTTATCTGGTCGTATAGTAGTTAGTCTTACCTGGGGGGGGCAGATGTTCCAGACTCACAGCGGGTGCCTGAAAGACTGGGATATACTCAACTCTGTAGCTACAGCTATGTATCACCTCGTGACAGTGGGGATACTTCCTGGAACGTGTTGCTAGGCAACCTCATCATCATAATACCATTGCAGAGTGCACTTACATAGATTATGATGTCTCCAACACTACTAGGTAGTGTAATCTTTATAAAAAAAAAGATTTATTTGGATGTTATGTGGGTGAGCATTTGCCTGAATGTATGTGTACCACAGGTGTGCCTGGTATCTGTGGAGGATGGAGGAGGGCATTGGATCCCCTGGAAATGGAACTGCAGACAGTTCTGAGTCAGCATGTGGGAACAGGATCTGGGTCCTCTTTGAGAGGACCACTTGTTCTGGACTGCTGGTCCACTCTCTAGCAGCCCAGACTTGTGTGTGGTCTGCTCTGACTGCAGTACCAAATGGCACAGGACTCTGCCGCATTGTCCCTCTACATACTTACACGAAGCCTAGTGTATCAATTACGCACAATAAGAGATCAACAAAAGTAAGTGTAATAAACTAGAACACATAGAAAAACACACCGAATGAAAGTTACTTAAAACATGAACTTTTATTTCTCAATTTTCCCCGCTTAACTTTTTCAGATCGCAGTGGCTGGAACCGTGGAAAGAGGAACGCAGACAGCTGTGCTATGCCGTTCACAGCACAGATAACTTCCACGCTCCACTTGTTTCTCAGCGTTGTGAGTGGGGGGAGGGGTCGTGTTGATGTCAAGTGTCAGTGCTGGACTTGAGGGACTCGGACAGATGCTTCTCTCCTAAGCTTCACTTGCCGGTGCTGGACTTGAGGGACTCGGACAGACGCTTCTCTCCTAAGCTTCACTTGCTGGTGCTGGGCTTGAGGGACTCGGACAGACACTTCTCTCCTAAGCTTGCCTCAACTACGAGATAAGCAAAACCTGCCTGGGAGGGGTTTGAGAAGGTTCAGTGTGTCAAACACTCAATGAAGCCTAGTTAGTACTCAACCCCACAGGAAGACAGGCAGTAAGGGACCACTGACGTCGGCATCGCTCTCCTTCTCTATAGCTTGCTATCTCTTTCCTAGCTCTTCCCCCAGGCAACAATCCACCAGTTACAGGGACAGTGGGTAGAAGCAAAAGAGCCAGGAGCAAAGGTTGATGCTGCTTGGAACTACTTCCTAACACGTGGAGCATGTACAAGAGTACTGAGGCATTGGGTCACAAAGTGTCCCCCACACTGGGTAGATTTAGCAGACTTAGTTACATTTTATTCTATAAAAAGATTCAAGTCTGAATATGGAGGTTGGTCAAAATAGGTCAAAGTAGTTATGATGGTATAAAAGAATGAGGAGGGGCTGGAGAGCTGGCTCAGAGGTTAGGAGCACTGACTAGTCTTCCAGAGGTCTTGAGTTCAATTCCCAGCACCCACATGGTGGCTCACAACCATCTGTAATGAGATCTGGCACCCTCTTCTGTATACATAATAAATAAATAAATCTTTTTTAAAAAAGAAAAGGATGAGGAAAAGAAAGCTAAAACCACGTGACCGAGGCAGGGCTGGAACAGCGGACAGCAATGGTGCCTTCCTACCACGTTCCTGGAAAAAGGTCAGTTGTGTGCACTAACAGACGTGCAGTAACTGGCCCCTGAGTAGACACAGGGGCGATGCTCCAGGAGAGAGGTCAGGACGAGAGTGTTCAGCAAAGGTGCTAAACATCACGTTTGAGAAGGTTGTGTCCTACAGGCAATGATGACACAGAGGGAAAGATCTGAACACACAGCCGATCAGCAAGAGGTTTTATCCTAACAAATGTATTTCTTTGTGTGTGGGAGTGAGGTCGGTGTGTGTGTGTGTGTGTGTGTGTGTGTGTGTGTGTGTGTGTGTGCGCCACAGTGTGCATATGGAGGTCAGAGGACAACTTTTAGGATTTGGTCCTACCTTTCTCCTTGTGGACATAGAATTTTCTTGCCTCTGTTGCACAGAGTAGCCCAGGCTAGCTGCCTGGCAGCTTCCGGCCAGTTCTTCTTTCTCGGCTTCTAGCTTTAGGAGCGTTGGGATTACAGACGTATGCCACGGTATCTGGCATTCAATGGGTTCTGTGAATCAAACTCAGACCATCAGGGTTTTGTGACAAGCACATTTACTCACTGGGGCAGCTCTTCACCCCCAAATGAGATTTTAAAAGCCATGGGAAACAAACAGAAAAGAGAAACCCAGCACGAAGTTGCAGAAGAGCCCAGAGGAGAGATAATCAAGTGTAGAAGTAGAAAGTGCAAGGAAAGACAGAGGGCTGGACCTGAGGCCATTTTACTATTAAAGGAACGGGCAAACAGACACAAGAGATTTGGTGGAGTTTTCAAGATTGTAGCTTTTTTAAAACAAAACAAAACAAAAAAACCAGGATCTTACTATGTAGATGAGACTGGCCTTGAACTCACAGAGTTCTGCCTACCTCTGTCTCCCGAGTGCTAGGATTACAGGTGTGTGCCACCAGGCTGAGCAAGGGTGTAGCAACGTGACGAGCCGGATCCCGGAGCTCCCAGGGCTCATTATACACAGACAAAATGCACACAGAGGACGGATGAGAACAAGAGGCCAGGGGCAGAACCTGTGATCGTGCATATTCTGGTGCGCACAACGGACCATGAGCTAACGAGGAAGGGAGCTGTTCAAAAAGCCGAGGGTGGGTGAGGTGGTGCCGCACACTGTGATCCTGGCACTTGGGAGGTGGAGACAGGGGGATCATGAGTTCACAGCTATAGAAGAATCTGTCTCCAATGACAAACACACCAAGAAATCAACCCCAAACAGGGGCTCTTCAGAGACTGGATGGGTCAACAGAACCAGGGGAGGTAGCTTAGAGGGTGTGGAGAGGAAGAGGATAATTGACTTTCCGTTCATTGAGCACCTTTGAGTGTGAATGTCCTAGCAGAACATTAACATTCTGGTGCTTTTGCAGCTCAGTGGGTAAGAGGGAGGGGAACACCCCTCCAACACTTTCCGTGATCCCAGGGAGACACACTGTTCAGCCATGAACTTGGATTTAATAAGCACCAGCCTAGAGGAAGAACACGGCTTATCATAGTCCCCTCCTCTGGATCCTTGCTGGTTCATTTGCCCAAGGCCCTGGCTTCTTGTCTATTCCCGAGAGAGAAACCAGCTATTACCCTGTGAAGGAACACCTAAGATAAGCAGCTACAGCTATGAACTGTTAGTAAATCATGATCCCAACCAGCGGATGCTACGCCACCCAACTAAACAAAGAGGTAACAAATAGTGCCTCTGCTCTGTGCACCGTGCAGAGTTAAATGTCTTTCTGGCTGTACATAAGGCACCATGAACTAGATAGAATACCCCAGAGGCATTTTTTTTATTGGTTGGAACAGCAAGAAATAAAGACTAAGATAAATTTAATATTTAACTCTAAATCTTTAGTCTCCCTCATTAGCTGACTTGCCCGAAGCACACTGCTGTAAATTAAACTGCCTCCGCTGGTGTGTTGCCAGAACGCACATGCGATGAATGTATGAATGTTAGCCCTGCTCATTCTAACACCCGATCGCGTTAAAACCAAAAAGTAACCTGTTTGCCATCTGGAGAGGTCATTAGGAAGGGTGGTTAGAAAGGTAAGCTGTTCCCTTCTTCTGGAAGTCAGAGTTAGAAGGCCGGTGCTGCCGTCGGCCCCAGGCTGGGCTTCGTGGACTGTAATCCACAGAGCTGAAAGCAGAAAGTGTTCTTTGGACCTCATCTCGGGGAAGCTGGTGTCTGGTTCTCTGGTCAAAGCATCGCCAAAGTATCATTGTCCAGAGGATGAAGGAGATGCCTCTGCCAGGGGAAGCCACTGGAGGCACAGTAATGCCTTGTGTGGGATGCCACAGAAAAGGCCCCACAGGCTGAACTGCAGACAGGCGAGCCACTGTGCCTGGCCAGAGAAAGTCCTCATGTGAGCGAGCAGCTGGTGGAAATCAGGTTTGGTCCTCTCTTCACCTCTAAAACGTTTGCCACTGTTTGCATCTGTATGTGCGACAGAAAATCAGAGCTCTGAGTCTACAACCACTTCCTGGGCAGCGCAGACCGCTTATTATGCAAGAAGAAAACCCTTTGAACGGTACAAAGGGTTAGTTGCATGTACCCTTGTGGGGAATGTTTGTGCTTTGCATCCTGTGCACAGAATTCCTCTATTCAAAAAGAAAAAACAAAGCAAGTGAAAATGCAAACAGGGGGAGAAGTCACGTTGAATTACATCCGTGCTAGAGCGCAAACCAGGACATATTAAAATACCAGAGAGCTTATCTGCACTAATAGGAGGTCACAAGGGGCCAGATGCCATCTTTACCTCAGCTTTCCCACCTCTGTCAGAATGAGGGCACCAGCAACAGATGCTGCGTCCCTCCACCCGCCAACCTCACCTGACTCGATTCTGGAGGTATCAGTAGGCTGAAGTGTTTATCTAAATTGTTCTATTATTAATAAAAAAAAAACTTGGGAGTCAGATATTGGGGTAAAAAACCTGATAGGTCAAAAAAGCGGCAGAGGAGCAGCAGCTGACCTCACTCCAGCTTCCCATGAATCTTTCTAAGCCCCTCCCTATTCTTTCCTGTGCCTCTCTATCATCTCGTGTCCTGGATCCTCCAAAATCTCTATGGCTAATTCCAGTCAGCTAGTCATTGACTCCACCCCCTGATTCGAGGTTGACTTTATTAACAGTCTCGGGGTGTCACAGTAGGATCAAAGATCCTGCAACAGGAGGCTTGCTCTTACTTGAGCTCGGGGATGGTCTGGGCAGCACTAATGTCTCTTAGTGCCCCAGCAACACCCAGACCAAGTACAGCATTGTCTGTACGGCGGCGGTCAGGCATCGGTAGCTTTTAATGCTCCCCAAATGCTTCCAACAGGAACCAAGTACGAAATTCACTGCATTTTCCATCCTGCTCACTGCAGGATTCACCTGGGTGCTTAGAGGGGCCCCTGACCAAGGGAGTCAGAATAGTGTCCAAAAGCTCCCCCAGGTGATTCTCACATGCAAACAAACCCTCTGGCTTTAAACAGACCCTTCAAGTGTGGTTTCACAGCCACCATT